AAGGTGTTCACAATGAACGTACGACGTGATTTATTCTGATGTGCAGCTCAATATTTCAGCCAATCAAACTTGAAAATAGCTTCATAAAAACATGGATCGCAATGATCCATGCTTCAAAACGCGTCAAATTTTTTTTTTTATGGGGGAGAAATGGGCATTAATATTCAAACGTAACCTTGAACACATAAATGCGGCAAATAGAGGGTCAAAGTAATATTTTTCAAGTCATATTAATTTTTCTGGCAATATCAACAGAAGGTAAATTGGTCTTTCGAGCAATATTAACGAACTAACCAGAAAAGAAGTATAAGAATTCTTCATGTATTATCAATTCGCATTGACAGTTCGCCAAAGTCGATTTCGATTAAGCTTTAAACTAAAAATGGAAGAGGAAACATTTACAAGCAGCAGTTGCTGAGTCATTCCGAGAGATGCACATTACCTCACTACACTGTGAACTACCATTCCAAACTCAAATTCAAGTCGTAAGCTGACTTTCGATTGTGTCTAAATAAAAAAACAAATGAGCGCGTGTTTCATGCAGTTAAAGTGAAATTTGTTGTTGCTTTAGAAAAAAATACTTCATGTGGCAAATTTGTTTGGAAAAATTGAGTCTTCAATATTTCTATTTCACCATGCTCAACAGTTTTTGTCTGGAAATAGTTTGAGCATCAGATTAAATTTGAATCAAGTGAACGACTTTCGAGATTTCACACAATTTTATGGACAAGAAGGTTTACAGCTACAGTATGCCCCGCTTTTCTCATCTACCTCGATCTTGTTCAAAGATTCTGAAGTTTCATCCCAAAACTCGCCAAAATTTAAGCGTTTTTCGACGAAAAAAAAAACCGTTCCGTGAAACATTTGTATTCCGCGTGTCACTTTTTCCCCTTTAAAAAAATGTCGTTAAGCGGGACTCACTGTGTACAAAATTTATTAATACAGTCAGTCAAATCTCTTTACAATGAAGCCACTGGGACCAGTAGAATACATTCGTTTTCGTTATACAAGAACTAAAATAATAATGGAGCTATCGGACAGGGTCCTAAAATACGAATTCCTTGTCATCGATTATTCGACATTCGTTGGAAAAATGCGTTAAAACGAGCCCATTTTCGTCTCGTAAAACGAGGAATTAAATTACCTGTAGGGCAGCCCCGGGAACAAACCCCCAATCGTAACGGAGACTTTCCCACTGTTCATATCCGTGACTTCATGGGCCGGAAACGACCTCCGGGCCCCTTTCTTCGGTTCATCGCTGTCCTCGGACCCACCTCCAGACTCCAAATCCACGGGCTCCCAGGTAACAACATAGAATTCCACCCGGCCCAGCGGCACGGGCCATACAAATGTCACGTTGTGCGAGTCCAACTTCGGCTCGATCCCAAGAACTAGGTTTGGTTCTAAATATAAAAAGAAGCCAAAAAATGCCGATTATAAACATGGACGATGGGAGCATCCCAATCATCTAAACACTGAAATTTCATACGCGTGAGAAAGTTTTACCCAAAATTTCCACGACTTCCAATGGAATTTGATTCTCCACTTTGTAGGACGAGGAGAAGAAGTGCACTTGATATTTCTCTCCGGACAAAAGACCAGATAATTCGTATTCGTTCGTCCCAACCGGGATCACCTGCTGTTCCCAGTCGGTGCGATGGTCGGAATTTTCCCCACTCACATCCCTCATCACTCGATACCTGTAATCAGAGAAATGATTAAACTACGATTTCCAGTTGTCCGCTTTTTTTTTCATGTAGCACACAGAATATTCAGCCCCAAGCTCTCGGATAATTTAATTAGAATAATTCCGTGAGAGAATACGGCATTAAAAATTTAAGGGGAAAATATCAAACCAAATCAAAAGCGGAAGTATGGAGATTCTGTTGTTCCAGATTCTTCCCATCGCTCAAAATTTCAATTTCTCAAATCATTTCTATGTTGATGTCGCCTTCGTGGAAACGCGTTCGGAAAAAATTCGAAGACAAAGTTCTTCAGCATTATAAATACTGTTTATCATCTTCGGTGATTCGCCGAGCTTTCGAAACTTCCTTCCTATAAGACTCCGGGACGTCGGATGCGTGATCAAATATAAACTTGATATGATTTTGAAATCTTTCTCTTTCTATCTCTGTGTCCGCTCAAGGGTGCTTGCCTAAGCCGTCTCTACTCTATACGAAAATACGGATAATTCGCAGAAATCGATTCTTTTAGACACATAAACCTCGGAAAACTGCGAAGAAAAACACTCGAGACTTTTTCGGCTTCGAACAGACATTAAAAATAAGAAAAAAGGAAAACGACACGAAGATCACTCGCTCGTATTTTTTTCGGTGCACCTCAGCAAATTCGAACTTGGACCAACTTCAGTAATTACTGGAATTTCTCGAGTAGAAGCTGCATTTCTTTGGAAAATACTGCAACTGAAAATATCATCGTGCGTCTCTTGTTTGATTGCATTTCGATCCCAGTCCCAGCTCAGTTTCGAAATGCATGGGTCTGATTGTTTTTTAATACAATTCAATGTTTTAAAAACGAAGGGTAAATTAAATAAACAAATCTTTTGTGCGCTACTGTACTCATTTCCGAGGCACAGCAAATTTAGAATTATGATTTCTTCTGAAAATGTTTATGACGATCAATCTGGCACCTGAAATGAGAGCAAAATCAAATAACTCATTTTATTCTGATGATAATCTATGTACTCGAAATAATTTTTTCACTCCTGCTTTCGAAGTTACTACAGTATATTAAATTGTGTTTCAACATCGATGGACGAGTATATTCGAGAAATTTCGGGATTTTCCGTTCAAATTGGCTTGCTTTTTTATACGGTTTGAGCGCAGAACTACATAGACGTCACAGTTTTCCAACGAAAAGCTAAATTCTCTCGAACTGAAAATTGTTATTTCAACGAACTGCATGATTGCAGATGAAACTTACTTGACAACGAAGCCGTCGAACAAAGAATCACTCGGAGGTTGCCACTTCAAGCTCAGGGATGAATTGGATATGCCGGTGACAACAAGAGCATTCGGCGGATTCGGATCTTTAAAAAATAAAAATAAAACATGAAAAATTATGGCATGAACGCCTTCCAAACATGCGAAGAATGAAGTAAAAAAACTCTTACAGATGGCCTGGAAGTACGAATGTGGTTCAGATCGAAGCCCATGTGACAACGCGAACACCTGCACAAAGTAACCAGCTCCTGGATAAAGGTCAACAAGGTCAATCCTCGGGTCCTTCGTCTCCTTCTCGATGACGTCACTCGTGTCGTTCCGTTTGCAGATCACCAGGTAACCATCTTGTTGCGAAGTCACGTCCGATTTCCAAGAAACGTTCATTCCTCTGACAGTCGGCTGCAAGTTCTCGATAATCGGAGACGCCGGACCTGACAAAATAAAATCAGCATTATTTCATTACAGTTGAACCTCGAACCTCCTTCTGTCGAAGATTTTTTTTCTTCAAGCCCGTTTGAATTTCCTTAAAAACCATGCATTAAGAGCCTCCCTAACTCAAAAGCATTCCTATTTAAAACGTCTTTAACTTGAAGTTTATGGAAGCATTTTGTCAATTTTTTTTACGCAGGAAAGAGAAAAGAAGGAAAAATGTTATCTTTATGGATTTTGAAAACAAGTGAAAGATTAATTGGGCAAATGAACCCTCGCATCCAAGTTCAGCATCCTGTCAACTCATTTAAGAATTACTGTACTTGAAAGTCTGGAAGATCACCACAATTACAATTTCTTTAATTCTTCTTTCTCTCCCCTCAACAAATGCTTGTAAACTTATCTCGAATTTTCTTGTTGGTCACTTGAAGTAGGACTTAGAAGAGCGTCGACTGCATCAAGGCCGAATTAAGGATGCTTATTTATTCGAAAACAATGGAAAATACACATTTTTTTCGTAAAAATTATCTCGAAGAAATCAGCATGCATCTCACACTTGACAGCGTCTCGCTGCTGACAGAAAAAATATCTAAAATAAAGATTGACTCCAATATTCAAGAGCAAATCCTCCCACAAAGTCAGCTGAAAGTCAATTGAGTAAGAATCTCATTTCCATCGAAAATCCTCGAAGAATTAACTGGTAATTTAAAGCACGAGGAGAATCAACGGGCTCCTCAGATCGCAGAAATTTTGAATGTAATTCGATTTCTTCGGTCGAAAAAAGGGTCAAGGTGCGGCTTGTGTACATCTACGCCTTTGCACGCTGTTCTCGGCACGTGGCAAAAAAGAAAAATCTCAACTAGCGGGAATAAACAGAAGGTTCCACATTTTGCAGCATCTGTCGGTTAAAAACAAACGAAACTGTTATTTCCGGATAAATACGAAAGAATGGAGAGCCGGGAAAACATGTTTTGCTCCCCCCCAAAGGTGAAACGAAATCGTGTAAACATCACTAAAATCCCAAGAAAGAAGGATCTAAAAAATGTTTGAACTGAAGATTTCATCTCAGAAGATTTTTTCCGCACCGAGACATTATTTACGTTCGCTATATCACACTTGAGTTCAGAAGGGCGTGTCAAACTAGGCCAGATTAATCTACCGTGAACCATCTTTCCAGAGAACTCTTTTCATACATCACGTAACTCGAGTTATGAGACACCATTAATTTCAAGATGCAGACTTCTTTTCAGGGCCATCAAAAAAAGCAGCGAATGTTTTTGTGGAATTTAAGACTCACTGCCACCGCCTTAATCATACGTCAGAGACACTAATAAACACAGTAAAGAAAAACTCGCGAACATTTTTCAAATGGCAACGTCACATCAAGATGACGAGTTTACGATCAATAGAATGGGTAAGATATTTAATCCCCAAGTGAAAAAATAATCCATAAACTAGAAGAGACACCCTCAATTTTTGCAAGCGAACCATGAGCAGAAGTGCTCCCTTTTTATCTTCTTTTTGACACAGACACCTCAATTCTTGGCGTAGAATTTACCCAAAATTGTAACCCAGATATGAAGCACACCCAAGTTTTTGCCGGGTTCATATACTGTACTTAAAAAAGTAAAATGATAAATAATGCATATTCAACTAGACTACAATTCAACATGAAAATGTGAATCATGATGCGCCCAGTTTCTACAGGAAGTACTGAAAATTGAAATATTTTGAAAATAGAACGCATATCTTACTCGGGGGATACATTTTTTATCCAAATTTAAGGATGAAAATTTCGAGAGCGTGCCTTCAGTAAATACTGTACGAGTAACTAAATAATCATGTGAATGATCGTAATAACTTGAAGCATTGTAACNTGAAAATTAAAATATTTTGAAAATAGAACGCATATCTTACTCGGGGGATACATTTTTTATCCAAATTTAAGGATGAAAATTTCGAGAGCGTGCCTTCAGTAAATACTGTACGAGTAACTAAATAATCATGTGAATGATCGTAATAACTTGAAGCATTGTAACAAGACACGTACCAAATATGAATACTTCTTGTTCATAGTTTTCTCCAACAAAGACTCCCTTACGACTAACACCCTTCATTTCCTGACTTTTTTTTCTTTCAAAAAATGCATACCCGCATTCAACGCACATCCCACATTTCTGAAATAGTTTCGCAGGAAAAAATTGCTTGTGGTACTCGGGTAAATACGGTACTGAACAGAAATACTGTACCGTAATCTGTAAAAAAAAAATCATCCACTCACAAGGAAGCATGTTAATAAACCCCAAAGTCAAGAGAAAAACCTAGTTCTGCGTTAAAAAAAAATTTATTAAATAAATGAATGAATGAACATCTACATACGAGTGGCCTGGTAAATGACGCGCTCCTCGCTTTCAATCCCATTGGAGACGGCACGCACAGACACGCTGTAATTCCTCCCGGGCAACATCTCTTCCAGGGTGAAAAACGGCTCGGAAACGATCCTACTGCTGGAATCCGCACCCGAATTGAATCCCTCCGACGTCCCTTTCGCGTCGCTGTTCTCCGTGTCTTCCCGTTTCGGCAACCCGTCCGCGGGAAGCGTTTGATAAGTGATGCGGAAGGAGTCTTGGATCGAGTTTTCGTTCACGTCCCACGTTATCTCGGCCGGGCCGGATTCCTGGGTCGGCTTCGCACGCAGGTTTTCCACCGGCAACGGACGGGTTGTCACGTTGCCCGACGCGGGCCAGGATGCTACGTTTCCTGACACGGTTTTCACAACCACTGTGTAGGAATGGCCCGGCTCGAGGCCGGAATTGAAGACAGCTTCGTTCAGGGCATCCGTGTCCACTATCTTCGGGCTCTGACGACGCAGTCCGATCGTCACTTGATATCGATCGAATTCGCTGTCAACAATAATAATACTGTATTAGTATCGTCGAACACGCTTGAGTCGATCTTCAAGGGACCAGCGAAAAAAATTCGTAGAAGCACGTAAACTTGTGAATGATTATAATCTGGGCCTTGAATTAATTATCAAATGAGTTGACGAACTTGGCCGGTTCGTCTTTCATTTCATTTCCTTTCAAAACGCATCCAGCCAAGTTTCTAATGCTTTGCTTTTTCTTATGTCGAGGAAATCATACCCAAAAAGGCCTCGAAAAAATTCGAGTCACGGAGGTTTTACGGGAAATCATTGGAGCTAGGGAGGTATTTGATGCATTCATTTCAAGGGAACAGGAACTTTAAAAAATTCGATACAGGGAAGTTGGAGTTACCGAGGTTTTCTTGTACAGTACATTACACGCATAGTAAGACGGAACCTTTCAGCAGGTGACTCGCACAAGAATTACTTACGGATGCTTAATTTTTAACCCATAACTTTCGAGAACAAATCTGACAATGGAGGGAAGTGGGAAATAATCCACTCGACTGACACGACCCTATTCAGACTGTCTTTCAAGGGAAATACAATTTTTTATTATTTTCAAGCTCTTTCTGGGGAAACGAACACACGTAGAGATTTTAAAAAAAATTTCAGAAGTCTCCCAGTATTCACTACATGGCGACATATTTTGTCCTTCTCAATAAAACTAAAATACTGTAGGAATAAATTTTTCATCTTGGTCAAACATTCTTCCTCCTTGAACATGGATACAAAAATGTACTGCCAAACATGAACTGAATTATGACTCCGAACATGAGTAAAATGTGGCCGGAAATTTTCGTCTACTCGCTCGTAGTCTTGGAATTACGCCAGAAGATGAAGCCTCAAAACAAAACGAGAACAAAGGAGCAAAACATGTGAACAGCCAGTCTCAAACAAGCAATTTAAAATTTGAAAAGCTGTTTAAAACACAGTGAATCAAAATTATTGGAGAAACTGACCTGAACCCCTTTGGTGGGAGCCAAAAGACTTTGAATGAGTCTTTCGACAGAGAGCGAGGGTCGAAGGTCACATTTCTTGGAGCCAACGGAACAGTGCGATATTGAGCAGTCGTTGGAAGAGAGACCTGCTCTTCACTCACGGTCTGAACACTGATATTGTACGCGCGTCCAGGGATTAATCCGTAAAACGCAGCTTGAGCAGGACCCGGAGGTTCACCTTCTTTTTCAATAAACATAACACTTTGTATGGCGTCAGGGGGGTCTATGGACACCTTGTAATGAGAGTAGACCCCCGGTGGATACGGAGGTTGCCACAGGACAAGCAAGGTCGTCTCGTTTCGAAACCATACTATGAATCGGCCGGGGGTATTTGGAAGCGTTGTGAAATTTCTCGAAATGTAAGCAGCACTTTCTTTGTTTTCGAAAACCGTAAAAAGTTGAATTTCGTAGGAAGCACCAGGTGTCAAATTTCGAAGCGTGAATGGAGAGGAATCTGAGTCTATCACAATATTCTTGATGCTGTTTTGAATTTCCGAAAGCGGCACAACCTGCAAATTTAAACACATAATCACAACGAGGCCTTTTCAAAACTGAGTGTCACGCGTACCTTTAATTTGAAGGCAGAATATCCACCCAGGGCAGGAGGATTCCACGAGACCAAGGATATTCTCCCTGATCTTACACCAATGGAAACGTTTGATGGCGGATCTGGCACAGTAGTGATCGACGCAGTCCAAGCTAGCCAGTCTACTATTGTCGCATTCGAATAATGCAGCGAGAAGTTGTACTCCGTACCCGGTAAAGCATCTGTCAGTTCAATTCCTTTCGCGATGTCTTGCGGTCTAAACGTCGTATTTGATGCGGGTTTCCCTTGCGGAGGAGAGTAAGATAGACGGTAAAATCCATCTTGGATCCCGACATCCCAGGGTATTTGAATCACAACGTCAGCCGTGGACACGAACTGCAGGATCGGACAGAATCACAACGATATTCAACAAGAGATGCTCGCGGAACAAGAAACTTACTTTTACGCCAGTCAGGCAAAAGAGAGCTATAAAAACGCGCATCGTGTCACCACGGTTGCAAAACGTGTCGGCCAACTGGCCCAGATGGATAACACACTGATGACCGAGTAACACTACGCATCCTGAACAACACTCATGTCAACGATCGTCGTAACAACGCGAGGTACACCGATGACAACTCTGCAAAATTAAGTGGGTCAGTATCATCATATAGGGTAAAATTGGAAGAGATGGGCAGCTTAACGAATAAAGTATACGCAGTTCTTGGAGAAGTACAGTACAGTACAGTAATTCCAACATCCGCAAACCCCGGAACATTCACGGACATCGACTACGGCTCACCTTGAAGCTGCCAGGACTTCGTCACGACTGAGAGTAAGTCATTCTCCAAAGCACCATAAGCCGTTGGCATTGGGTCATTCAAGGAGTGGTCACTGTTCCAGGAAGTGCTGAGCTGACGAAATGTGATTCTTCAAGAAAAAATTTTCAAGAAAACTCCGTTTCCATTCATAATTTCTCTAAATTCGTACATGAAGGGATTTCCAATGATGAAAAATTAATTCAACAAAAATGAACAAGGTATTTCGCCTTCAGTTAGAGACTAATCATCAATGTTCATATTCCCCTAAAGCCCGGGGCGAGGTCAAGCCTGTACTGCGGAAGGCGAACTGGACGACCGCCTCACCAACAAGTGGCTGTTCAGTTTGCCCACACCGACACTGATTCCAAGAAATTGCCTCATGGAATCAACAGGAAATGCAAACATTCACCAGAACCCGCAAATATTTTCCCATTATGATGCCGCCACATAGTGCTGTATGGCTTTTGTCCAGAAGGCAACTTCTATGACAATATAACCGTGAACAAATTCCGCCATTTGGCTGCATAGAAACCATTTTTGGGAATAAATGTTCCCAGCTACAGTATATGCATGGTACAATTTTTTATTTCATGAATTCCAAAACAGCCGCAATGAAAGATTGCATCATGAAATACTTCACATAAGATGCATCACGACTAATTAAAAAAGTATCACATTAAATGACTGGAATATGCAAACTAACTTCCTGAAACAAAGCTGATGCACCTGCTGTATCTGTAGACCAGTCCAAAGATTGTGATGTGATGTCTACCAGTAATTATTTCATCCACGCACCTCTCCCAATGGGAATAAACTTCAAGTAAGCATGGAAGGCTTTGTTGAGAAAAGCCAATGAACCTTTTGAAGATCTACTTTGTTGAGCTCAGCATGCATGGTCAAGAAACTTTTTCTCAAGAACAAGACTCTCCCTTAAAAAATAAGCATTTTATTTAGCATTATCCAGACTTTGACACAATGTGACATTTTCATCAACATGGCCAATAAACTAGGTTCCACAATCTCCAAGAGCTCGAAGTATTGCAGAGGTTAGGTCATAATGCTTCACCATATGTGAATGATCAGATTTTCTCTTCAGAAACCATCACTTATTTCATTTCAGGGTCTGGAGAAAAATGTATCATTCACAAGGCAGCATCATGCAACCAGATGTAAGTTCATTCAAAACCTTGAGATGGGCATCCAAAGCTTCATCAAGGGTTTTCACATTGTGATCATTCATCTTTCCATTTTGGGAAACACAACTCTGATTATGCAGGATTACAAAGGCATGAATTCAAGTCTTCAACCAACCAGATAGCATTTTTCTGCAATGGCCAAATTAAATTATTTTCAGTTTTCTTCAGCAGGTTGGAGTTCATTATGTGAATGATCAATAGCGCAAACATGAAACAATTTATTGAACCCTAGAGATAAGTTGACCCAGAATAGAACAGTGAAGCGAACATTCATCCTAACTTTAAGTCAGGGAAACAGAGTTTACACAATTGAAATTGCACATGCCATTTTCTCATGTTCAGTGTTCCAAAATCTGGGAATGTTTAATTTAACCTCAAAATGTATAGTAGGATGCTTGGATTATAGCTCTAACATTTGGTGATTTTTCAGGATGAGCACTGACATACCAGCTGGCAGGCAACACAAACGTAAAATCATCCTCAAATCACTGCGAAACTTGGACAAGGCTTCTTACATGAATGCCTATGATTACACAACTTACTTGGCGTCAGTCCCTGTATCCTCTGACATCTTTGATAAAACTGAGGACTGTAGCCTGCCAGTGCTGAAAACGCCACTGATAGAAGATAGCAGCCAAGAAGCAACTTCGCCCAGATGCAAGCTGCATCAGAGACTATCCACCGTACACTGAGTTATCTTTAAAGAATAACCACTCTGAATCAGTAACATGAAGATCAGGGCAACTACTGTACCTTTGAATGCTGAAGTATAAATTATTGATATGAGATTAATGTAAAATAAGAAGTGCACCCTTCTAGTGAGTGAATAACGTCATAACATATTCTAGCTCCATCATTATGCTGGAGTCACCCAAGTATTCAGAGAATGACCTGTCATTCTCTGAAATTTAATTTTGATTGTCTGAAGTAATTTTGATTGTCTACTATAGTGTTTATTGATCATCCTTGTTTGAAGGATAAAATTGTTTATTTCTCAAACTACTGTACCAAGGATAAATGATCTTAAGAATCCCATTTAATGGATGAATCTGTGAGGATTTTCCTCCCCATGATTTTTCAAACAATAATTTAAAATATCAAGGGGAAATAAAAATGGAATCACCAATCACAGTTGAGCCTCACTAACTTAAACTTCTGAGTCAAATACCTCCCTGTTACACATTCTTTCAAACCCTGCCTGAATTCCCTCAGAAGGAAGCATTAAAAACCTTCAAAACTCATGGGCTTCATCTTCAAAGCTTTCTGGAAACCTTTTGGGTATTACTTCATTGACACAAGAAAAATAAAAGCAATGGAACTGTGAATTGACATGTTTCGAAGGGAGGTGAAGGACTGACTGGACAAATGAACACTTGCCGCAAAGATCAGTAACATTTCAACTCATTTATAAAGCAATTCAAGGCCAAGAAAATCATTCTTCTGTTCTCCCGACAAAAGCTTGTTTCCCTACCTCAAATTTTTTTTGCTGTTGCCACTGAATTTAACTCAGCGTTGCAACGGTAGTAGCTTTGAGCAGTACAGTATTCAATTGATGGACTTGTTGATCTGAAAAGCTTCGGTGACTTAACGTGGCCTTACATTACTCAGTCGTCACTCAATCTCTTAGATTACGTCTCGTACCAGATACACGTGAACTTCAGAATCACGAAAGAATACGGAAAAGATGAGAGCTTCGTCCTGAAAAATGGCACCAGACCAGAACTTCCAAAAAACCGCTCGAACATCTTAAAATTGAAGGATTATCTCAATAACATGACTTAACGAAGAGTAATGAATAAGGACTTCAAGATCAGACTGAAGCTTGTATTCCTTCATCCATCTGGAGACAAGTACGTCGGAAACACTTCAGCAGAGTTCCGGGACCACCGGGATTCTTACGTTCGTTCCCGCGAGCTGACGTCGCGGATGGAATATGCGGATTAACTCGCGAGTCGGCTAGACTGAAGGTATAAGTTCACAGTATTCCAGGATAACTGAAGTCCAGAAACACCTCTCATTGTCACGCGCAACTATAACCCTCCGAATTGATTTTGAATAGCTAGTCGAACTCGAAGGATAAACGCGTCTGGAATCAGTGATAGCTACAACACGGGTAACGTAACTGAGCCGACGATTTCCGCCATTATGGAGGCGAAGTTCACAGAACCTGATTGATGTATCATTCAGGAAACGTCCAAACTTTTACAAGGATTTGTTCTTAATATTTGACTTACTTTGAGAGATATGAAGCACATTTGTCCCTACAAATATCAAAATAAGCATGAATAATGGTTATTTATCATTTATTTTTGTTTTTTTCTACCATTGTCTTTGATTGTACACATTGTACCAGCAAACGTATGCCTTTCAAGCATTGACCTGTTACTTCTCACATAGACAACTTTTCCACCTTAACATTTGGTGGATGCCTTTTCAACGATACCACGTTGTCACATCATTTGTTACCGCATGAACGCTTAAAAATGGAAATTCCGTGTTGACTTTCCTTTTTCCGCAGGCAATTAAAGACTTAAGTCCAACAATGTACAAATATGGAACTGAATTTGAGGAAGAAGCGTTGGATTTCTACAGGCGCGAATTTCGTGACTTGAACGACTTGAAGAGAACCTGGGACCAAATAGATGCTGACTGCTTTCAAAGACAGGAGAAAACAGTAAAATCTGGAGAACCCA